ACGTCAAACCATAACTGTGTGATAGTATTGACCTTAACTGTCCTGAAAAAAAAATAGAAAAAAAATATCTCACGTTTAGAAATTATGAGCTTTTAAGTGTAAGCTTTTGTGAAGTTATGATCGTTTTTTTGTTATTGTGGTTAATTTTAATCAATTTTGATCATTTAAACTTTGGAACTGTAACCGTGAATAACATTTCTAGGACTGCAATCATAAACATTAACACAATTGCCTCAAGTTTTTAAGAGTTAAGACTTTTTGTTGAACTATAAATTTAAAAATATTAAAATCAGTCGACTTTGAGAGGCCCTCTTTTAATTAAAATGTACTAAAGTGTGCTAGAAATTTTCATCAAAAGTTGGCGCATTGAATCAGGATTGTAAAATGGTAAAAAACTTGATAATTTTATTATTTAAAAATTTCGAATAAAAAAATTAAAACCTAAAATTAGCATGAGTTTTGCTAGTACATTTTAACAGTTTGATTAAATGCACTGCACAAACATACTTTTGTTATAGACATGATTTTACTACTATATTTTTTTAAGAAATATTTAAATTTCTATCACCAATAAAAAATTATTCAAATAAATTTCTCAAAAACGATCGCATAAAAAAAATCAGAAAAGTTTTATTTTTTAAACTCCTAGGTAAAACTGATTATAGTAAATTATTTTTAAGCTTTATGCTTTTGCTCACTTTTTAGGAATAATTTCAAACTTCTAAAAAATTTTAGTATCAATTATTGGAAGAACTTAAGATAAGCATTAAAGGAATAGAAAATATGTTATTATTTATTGATGCAAAGTATTTATTATAATATACATTATTTTTTTATAAGTCAATTTGTCATTTTCTGAATATCATTTTTTATAAGTATAAGCTATTGCATTATGATCTCTGCACTAATGTTTAATAATAGTTAATAAATGGAAAACAAGTCATTTGCAAAAGACTTAATAATAATTTTAAGTTTTTGTTTTCCATTGGGTACTTGATTTATAATCATTACAATATATTAATAAATTTGATTGGTATAAAATAAACAAGATGATCATAAAGTTAAAATATTAAAAAGATATCAAAAGTGATTATTTGAGAAGTGGCTGCGTTATATTTTATATAAGTTTCATCTCATTTTTATTAAAAGAGAGAAATCTTGAAATTGTGTTCTCAAACACTTTGTTTTTTAATTACTGCCGTATAATAACTTCTTGCTTTAACTTTAATATTAGACTCCCGAGATATACAACTTTGAATAAATGAGCCAGGAAATTAACATTAAGCGTGTATAAACTCAAAGATAAACTTAAAGAATTTATACTTTAACTTTTGATGCATTATCCGGTAACTTCACAAGTAGCGCTTGACATTATGCAAACTACTTTTGACCCACATAAAATTAACTCTCAACTAATTAAAATGTAAAGAAGTGTCGTGATGGGGATAGAAATTGGAGTTTGGATGTTCGAAAACACATCAAATGAATATACACAAATGAATGCACCCAAACACATAGGTATATAATATATATGTATATATATATAATATATATATATATATATATATGACTTTTGTTTGAGCAAATATATTGTGAAAACCAAACCAATTATATCACAACAAACAAGTATCTTACTATATTCAGTAAAACTTCCAGCTTATACAAGATCGTAGAAATGTGATTTTTCTGTTTTTTTTCAAATTTGTCACCTGGTCCTTTTCACATCAATGGCGGGGTAAAATAGGAAGCCAGGAGGCAATCAGGTCCAATGTTTTATTTTTAATTTTAAAAAGATTTTACGAAATATTAGCTTCAATATTTACCCAATGCAAAATATAAATTTCATGAGTACTTGTTTTACAGTGATAACACTGAATATAACCTTGATCTGGTATCAGAAATAATCACCGGCATAGTTGGAATAATTATTCATTTAACTTATCTCTTATAAAATTAATTTTGCTAAGTTATGTTTTTTATTTACTAACTTTTATTGTTTACAGCTTTGCCAGAGTAAAGGTTCAGTCACTCCTAACTTAAACAAATTTTTATAATTCATTTACATTTTGTCTGTAATATTTTACGATGTGAGTTTAGACAATAAACCTTATTACTAGGCAAAGATTCGTTCATATCGTGAAATAAAAATTTCAAAAATTAATAGCAACTAATTTTGCATTTTAAAAGAAACTTGCTTTGCAGATAGAAATAAGCTTGTTCCATAGATCGATACCTTAACTAAATAGCTCTATTTCTTACTAAGTTTCAAAACGATTCAAAATAACTTGAAACGCGAAGAAAACTTAAAATAAGCAAATCGGATTATCTGTTGAAACCCTAAATGTTGTCCTTAAAATGTTAATATATTTATTCTGTACTTAATATTTTTATGCATCATTTGCATGTTTCAAAAATGGACAGAAGATGTATACAAAATAGTGTAGAAATAATTCTGTATGTATATATATATATATATATATATATATATATATATATATGTATATATTTATATATTAGAGTATATTATGTATATATATTCATCCACCTATTAGACATATTCTGATTGACATGTTTCGAATTTGTTATTAATTTGTGATTGTGGTCTAAAGAAGACATTCAAAAAAATGATTTTGAACATAAGTATTTATTTCGAAGTTTTCGGAACCATAAATGTAGTATAACTATCATTTGGTTTTCTGAAACTCTAATTATAAACAAAATTTGTTTTCATTGAAATTTTTTGTTCGAAGCACTTAGATTTTCTAATATTGTATTAAATGCATGCTCGGGTATATGTGTATGTTCATTTCAATCTACAAATTCGCTTTTATGTATATATTACTAGTATTGATTTAAAGCTATCCCCTAAGTGCCTAAATTTTCTTTGATGTCCTTCAACAAGTTATTGACACTAGGTTCGCTCTTTGTATGGATATCAACATAAATAGCCACTCGAAATTCCATCAGTATACAAAAGTTACAGTTTCGGTGGGGTATGAATTTGCATTAAGGAAAAGCGAAGCTTTTGTGTTGAAAGACTAATGAATGAATCAAGACTTCAATCAATCAAACTGCTATTTTGATCTATTATTGAATAAATTATTGCAAGTTCATGGGATATGAAACATAATGTATTTCATAAAGGATAAACAATAAAGAGGAGAGTCTATTATTATTATATAGTTGCATTTATGTCTATGAAAAATTATTTAATTAATTACTATGATTTTATGCTAGTATTCTAAAATTCAGTATTATACACAATTAATATGACATTATTGAGATAACTAAATAATGCAAAAATCATCTTCTTCTTGAAATTGTAACATAATAATTGTGATACAAAAAGTAGGAATTATTATTAGCCATCAGTTCAAGAATACATTTTTAGTATTTTTTTCTTTATGTTTTATATCAATATTTGTAAATATTATATTCTATAAAAGATTCTCGTATAACACGATAGTTACGTTCCAAAAACTAGCGTGTTATGCGAATCCGTGTTATCAGGCATTAGTTACCAAGTCGAACATAATCATCAAAATAACACCTAAAATAAAATTATAATTTTAAAGAGTAACGAATGTTAGAAATTGGGTACTAAGAATGGTGATGGTGCTAAAGATGATAAAGATAGCCATTATTGGTTAGACACAGTTGGTTTTTACCATTTTGAGCAAAAATGTTGGATTATTTTATCTTTCAGTTATTTATACATTTCATATGTCGATCTTTGTTAAATTGTAACGAATTAATAATTTTGTATTTAATTATTCCTGTGTGACAGCTTTTCAATTATAAACGTTTGCTTACTCAACTAAATATACATTACAACTACACAGTACAACTATAGTTCTATTTAACAGTACCATAAGATGTAATTTTTCAATTTCAATTTTTTATTTTGTATATTTTTTAAATGTGCTACAATTCTATATTATTAACTTCCCGTAGGGCAAGTTATAGTAATCGCAAAAAAATCGAAAATGAAAATTTTTATATATCTTTACGTTTCAGAGGTTTCTGAACATTTTGGCATACCTTAGAAAAAATGGATGTATGTGTGTGTGTGTGTGTATGTATGTATGTATGTATGTATGTATGTATGTATGTATGTATGTATGTACGTGTGTGTATGTATGTGCGGATACAAATTTTCGTCGACGATTTCGGGAACACGGATCAACCGATTTGAATAATTCAAAAAACATTCGATTCGTATTGATAAGGAGACGTGCTGATTAGCTTTTGGCGAAGGCAGGTCCAGCCGTTCCGAAGATACGGGGCAAAAAGTGCCAAAAACGGTACCTCCGTTTTTAAGAGAACGGAGCGTCCGATTTGAATAATTCAAAAAACATTTTACTTGTATTGACAAGATGTAGAATTGATCAAATTTTCATGGAGGCAGGTCTAGCGGTTTCGGAGATCTAATGAAAAAAGTAAAAAAAAATGCCATTCGGCGGTTAAAAATGATCATTAGACATATGCACATCAAATTGTCAGATATTTTATAGAGATTTTAACAATAAGTATGATTTTTTTTTACATTTCTGTGGGTTCCGTACCAATGCTTATGCGTTAGACGGCGGCGCGGCACCTGCGAGCTTTGACATTTCGTCTCTATGCAGTTCAAGCAGTGCGATTGCTTTGAAAAAAAGTTCAGAATTTTCAAAATATGTCAAAATGAAGAAAACATTTTTTTTTTTCAAAAAAATTTTTTGTTTTAAAAAAAAAAAAAAATTTTCTCAAAAAAAAATTTTTTTTTTTCAAATAAAAAATTTTTTTTTTCAAAAAAAAGTATTTTTTTTGTCAAATTTATAGTTTCTCAAAAATCTATTTTTTTCGAAGTAAAATTTTTTCAAACATGTTAATCGTTTTTGAAAAAATAATAATTTTTGGTACGGGAAGTTCCAGCAATTTGCCTTAAGGCACGATGCCCTAATTGCCTTAAGACAGAATTCCACTTACAGCTAGTTAACGACTACTTTTATTCATTTTAGTATAACATAAAGAAGCGTGAGGAAGTGGTCGAAGCGATGCCACAAGAAGAACCTAACCCGTTGATGCGCAAGAAGAAAACTCCCGAAGAACTAGCGCGGGAGGCGGAACAAGAGGATGAGGACGATTTTACCAGTAAGTTTACCCAAATTACCATGTAATTGAAGGAAAAGATATGCTATAATTATTTTGAATGTATTCCCTAAATTTCGGTGTATAGTGCAGGCTGCTGCCATTAATGTTTAACTTATTTTAGTAAGTTGTAATTTGCACTGATTACTTCCATGAAAATGCCATTTTTAATTATGACCTTATTTTTCAAATTATGCCCTTATGTTTACTAAATCTCTTCACAAAAAAAACTGTGAATCTTGTTTTAAATTCAAAGATAACAATTTAGACGTAGACACGAAAACAGTTCACATACAATTCAATGACTTATAATATTAAGCACTTTAAAATGTGTTACTCTTAAATTTAACTTTTGTAATTTATATTTTATTTTTCACTATAGTCTCATTCTATCTTACAATTATTTTGATACACTATTTTTTGATATATTATTTATTTTATTTGTTAAATCCGCGGTTTGCAACCTTAACACCCAATGGCGTAACTACTAGAGCTAATTAAAATATGATAACAAAAAAACTAAAAACAGAAGGGAAAAAACTATAAAATATAGCAAAATGAAAGTTTAAGTAAATTTACAATATTAGGTCTTCAAATATTTTTCTTTGAAACCCGGTCGGCTGGCTTTCCACGTTGACTTGACTTGCTATTTGGTTAGGACTGACTTCTACTCAGTTTTATATTATTTTGCAATCACAATTTCAATAAATGCACATTTTAATGAATTAATTTAAAATATTAACCCTCTATGCTGCGAATTTTTGTTTAACATCGAAAAAAATAGATAAACAAAAAATCTGTATTTATGAGCCTAAATTGCTTATTAATAACAAACAAAAAATTAGGTATAAAATTTTTTTTGATATGATTTAATTATGTGACTTTCAGGTCACAGCTTCCTAATATATTGCACATCGCACTTCTGTGTATGAAAATGTTACCTCTGGTTGAAAAGCCTGGCAAAAGTCATAAATATTGATATTGGTTATCTTGACAATATCATAGAATTAAGATTTATTCGTCAACTCACAAAAAAACATAATTATTTGGTAAAATAAGGAAAATTTTGAAACGTGACCTTAAAGTTACGCGTATGCGCGGGCCCGTAGAGCGTTATTTGAGCTTATAGTTTAAGTATTTTTTTTTAAATATCTATAATTATAATATTTTAATAGTTAATAACTGTGTAATTTTATATTTCCAGAACTCAAAAACTCTATAGAAACCCAAGTGAATGAAATAAAATCCCAGATAGAAAGCAAATGCGTCATGCAGTGAACGTTAACCTCAGCATTTTTAATTTCGACGTCGCCAGCCGAACAGCAATAACAAGACTTAAATTCTATTTCATTTTCTACTTATTTTAAAGATTAGAAAACGACAATGATGTACCTCAAAGGTAAATCGCATAATTGTTTTTTTTTACTTGGGACGATCTAGAAACATCCAGGAAATGAAGCTGAAACTAGAGACTAAAGTACGAGTGTATTGAAAATTCTGTATTAATTACAGATTATGTATCAAAAATGAGGGGCTTGAATAAAACTCGAAAATGTTACAATTTTTTTTAGAAAAATGTCACAATTGTTGAATTTTTTTTAATAATTTGGTGCGTATGCATTTTTGTTATCGAAAACGTAATATATGTATATTATCTAATACCGCATATGAATAGATGACATTTTAATCTTCTAGGTGATTTAAAATAAATTGTAACATTTGTGAGTTTTTTGTGATCAGAAAGTTAAAAAATCTCTGTGTGTACACTCATTCTGAATGCTACAGGATATGGTGATAAATGATTAAAGTTGTGCTTTACTTTTATTCAAAAAAATTTAAGCAAAATGAACTGAATTTATTTGTTTTACTTTTTCAATGGTTGGCTGCGATAGAAGTTGCTAATATAGTAATTATAAATAAGGTGTTTATTTTAATATTAAATATTGTAAAAATATTATAAATCTTAGAAGAGTGTCGACAGTGATATATTTAGAATATAATAATATACCATTTTAATAATCAAATTAGCCAGGAACATAGACGACTATCTAGGAATCGATTGCATTTTCATATTGTTATAGCATTTAAAAAGAATTGTAAAAATATGATCTTTGTTAATTACTACTTATGTATCATTTCATAATTTTCATTCCAAAGACAAAATGACGTTGTTTATCTTAAAGCACATATTGAGGTTTTGAATCATATTGTTGTCATCCAAATTCCTACGTATTGTTTGTCAATGTGGCTGTGTATGTTGTTTCTCTAAAAACTTTCCAATGGTGTATCTCTGTATATAAATGTAACTAATTTATTGTACTTTTTACATCGTTGTTAAAATGTTATAATCATTGCATATTTTTATTCATTTGTTAAGAAGCCATCTAAAATATAGGACGATGGAAGACAATGAATAAAAACATGCGATATATTTTGATCAATTTTTAATACATGTCTTAATGTCTTCTTTTATCGCATTTCCAAATCATCATCTTTAAATGTATTCCTGAAAATATTGACATTTCCATTAAACTCCTGCACTGTCGGCATTTCTTGCATTTCTTTTCTATAGTACATTTTTTATTCTTTGGTCAATGACAATTACCAATAGTAGTCAGTATTACATTCCAATATTTATTTAAACAATTGCAGTGATGTTAGATTAGAAAATATGAATAGATTGGACAATTTTCATGTAGCAGAACTTCATAAAAAAATGACTGAACAATTATTTTTTCTAGGGTTCTGCTAATTGTTATTTATTAAATCTTTTCACTAATTTTTAACCTGACATCATTTTTACGCAAATGCGAAATTACGATATTAAAAATCTATCAATTTTATTTCGCGTGATGGTATGACGTAAATTTCAAGCCAGTTAACAAATATTCGCAAACAGCACTAGCCGATGTATAATATGTTTTTGAAAAAAAAATGTAATTTTTATAAACACGAGCAAGTCTAAAGTATAATCCTAATTATACGATTTAGTCAACAATATAAGTGTCAATTATTAAATGAAAAGAAATGTTATGAAATAAATTTATATAGAGTTTTAGAAATTTAAAAATATCTATTAGTTTTCCTTTCACTCTATATACATAGCTCTAAAATTCTATTTATCTAACCATGAAAAACAAAACCCTTGCAATTGTAGATCATTTAAATTTTCTACAATTCTTTAACTCTTTCCATATCTACTATCTATTCATATCCTAATGCCTGATAGTAACGTGGGTCAAAATCCTTGTTGTAAAGTTGTAGACTTTGCTGATACCATGGCCGATTCCAGATCCTGAATCTTTATTGTCCCAAAGAATATTCCCTGTCGATAATTATAACCACATCATAAAACATAGTCATTGTTGCACCTTTGTGTGTTTTGTAAACGTCTTGACATATAAAAGTGTTAAGAGTAAAATAAAATCCGATGGTCAAGAACGACGAAATATAACATCTATCTAGTGGGTTTCGTAAAGCTCCCGCAAAAAGCTATTCATTTTATAATGAAATTAAACCTTATCTTCAAAAAAACATTCATGAAAAGCAAGTGGTAACTTCTTTTTCGAAATTGTAATATGGAGTATTTATTCATTAATTGAAGTTGACCAGGTATGGGTGTTGAGCTCGATGGCAAATTATCAGATTTATTTTCTACTCTTGACTATTTTGTGTGAGACTACCTTAAGGTAGTATCCTTTAGAACAATAGTTATTCAATGTTAAGCGTCGGTTAAACAGAAAGAGGACAAAACTACTGTCAGTCAATATATCTATCTATACTTACTTACTAATCGCTTTTAGCTAAATCATAAAACTCTTACAATTAGTTTCCAAATATTGTTGAACAATGCTTTGCAGAACAAATGTACTTGCTCTATTATTGTTGTAGAATTAGTTAATATTTATGTAAGTATAATGTTGCATTGTTGTAGAAATTAGTTGTAATGTAAAATAATGGCATGTTATTTTTCAGTTCCGTACTTAATATGTGTTATTATTTTGAAGTTCTTGGAGTTGCGAACTATGCAAAAAGATTTTAAATGAAATTGGTAGTAATTTAATTTATTAAACAACAATAATTGATTTAAATTGTATGTTATTAAAATATCTTAATAGATTTGAGCAATAAGAAAAAAACAATTTTATGTTCGCTATTCCAAGAATTTTCAGGCACGATTGTCGATCATTAATATTTCTAAATGTACAATAAGTGTCGTTGATCTATATAAACTGTTGTCTCTAGATGTACCTTCAAAACGGTTTGTTATTTCTCAGAAATAAATCCAAAATTGTTATATAAAAAGGACTGAACCATAAATATTTCGATCTAGGTGTCATTATTGCGCTTCTTAATATTCTGCTGTGCTATTAAACATTCGTGTCGTAGAATCGATGTGCGCTATTGTTCTTTTAAATGTTTTTTCATTTGATTGATTGGAATTTGGGTGAAAAAACAATTATCTATAGATTATAAAAAGGGTGCTTTATTCAGGAGCATCGCAACTGTCTGCCTGTCTGCAACGCCCGCAGTACATAACCGGCTTGAGCGCAGTAATATCCAAAATTCATTGATATTGATATAAGCCTTAGGCATAATATTAATATGGCAAAAAACTGCCTTTTGCTAATTGTTAACGCTTGTGATTTAAATTAATGGAGTTCGAATGTCGCAAACGGAGTCGGACGAATGTATCGACTGATCTTCCTACAGAATATGTCCTCGGAATAGCTCGAACAATGTCAGATCGGTTCAGTAATAAACGATAATTGTGTCATCTGATTGTATGTTATGCGATATTACGAAATTTATTTTTGATTTGAAACTTAATTGTTTATATGCAGGTTTCCAATTTGAATATACTTATTGTAACACATATTAATATGGCGTGATATTGCCATGATGCATTCAGAGATTGTTATGTAGGACTTGATGTAGATAATAAAATACTATTTAAATATAGAAACTTGTTAGAACATAAAATGTAAACACATGACTTATGGAAGCCTTACGACTAATATATTTGAATTTTTCGTTTACGATCTCTACATGGCATGAACACATGCACAAGTATACTCAATAAGATGGACTTAACATAAATTTCTAAATCAAAAAGCAATTGACTATTTATAAACTATAGAACGTAGTATAACTGTTTTAGATTTAAAATATATAAAATTCACTACAAACAATGGCAACTGCAGACAAGTCACAATGTTCGAGTAAACGACAGAAATGATTTAGCAAACGATCTGATTTGGATATCAAGAAATTTGTCTGTAATCTTATATTTTTTATAATACGAGTCATCTATATAGATATAATCGTAAATCACGTTGAGTTTTATATGCAGTTGAGATCTGTGAGTAATATTTTTGTTATATATATAATCGTCGAACACTAGAACAACGACACGTACATTTAAAATAATAATAGATAACACTTTAAAACTAATTTTAGAATTATACATAATATTGCATATTAATGTAGTTGATATTTAATAAACTGAAAATTGCTTGTAAGCTTAATGCTATACACCTTAGTGATAACAAAAAATGTAACCGTTAAAAAAAGAAAGGAAAATGTTAAAAAAAAAATTACATCGTTACTAGATGTATTGTTATTGAACACTGAATCTCATAAGCCAAGTTGTTATATGCTAATATTGTATTGAGTGTTTCTATTGATTCTAAATTTTGATGATTTCGGTGCATAGTTTAGACACTGTTATTGATATATTGAAATAACTATTCATACACCTTATACTTTTGATTATAATTGTCAGGACTTTTTATATATACAAAAGTAAAAAGTTTGTAAAGCATCTTAATTCAAGAGATATGTCAATAGCAAAATGTTAATTTTTTGTTATGATTATTAGTCCAATATATAAAGAATTCCACTTTGGAATAATTTGGCAATAAAATAATGAATATGAGCGCTAAAGAAAATTTGGTTCCAGCAATATATACACCACTCATTTTACTGGACTGTTTGATAAAATTGGCGCTTATATGCTCTTAGATGAATATAATTCTTTTAGGCACATGGAAACCATATAAGAAGAAATATATTGGTATAACTCAAATACATAATTCTCAGAATTATAATGGTGCTTCAACACACATAATATGTACATTTCAAAAATTGGCATATCTTTGGGTAAAATATCTATTTTTCTTGTATTTTCTAAATTTCACTAATATGGATAAATAAATTACAAAGATTAGCCTATCTTTATTATCTGGACTAACATTCGTTAATTTGTTATTATACGTTTTTTTATTACATATATATATATATATATATGTATGTATGTATATAATAAAAGTTTATATCATTATTTCGAGTGCGTTACATCCTAATGCTAAGTACTTAATATATTGTAAAATAAAAATGTTCATATTTGAACATAAATGTTGTTAATTAATAATACCTAATAACAATATATAAATCAATATCCAGTATTCATTTAAACACCTAACTAATAGTACCGTGTTAGAATTTTCATTTAGAATAATGATTAAATTTCACATAGAACTAATACTAAATTAAATATAATAAAGATTTTAGCATATGCTATCTGAATCATTATGTGGTAGTATACATATGGTACTACTATCTTACAAATCTCTTGAAAATTGTTCTTTTCTTTTTATTAGAATGTATGATGAGGTATAGTTGCATATTTTTTGCACTAAATTATGCACTTATATGTTTTATTATTATTTGTGTATTTAAAAGTTTTTTTGACAGTTTAGACTAATGCTAAAGTCTTATGAAAAGTGCATAGTATCAGTGCAAGTGCAATGAGAGCAAATATGACTAAAAATTTTGGTTTTTCCAACGAAACGAAACATTCGCAAGTAAAGACTTGTTTGAAGTATAAAAGTTAATTTAAGAATTCGACCTAGTTGGTAGATAAATTGTTGTTATAGCTACACTTTAGTATACCTGGAATTAAGATGTGACAGATCTAGTAAACTCTATGTACCCAGGGTATACAGTTGATAAGAGAATATTAATAAAACTATTTAAAATTATGCCTTTTTTATATTAAGTTATACTTCTTTAAACAATTGACATAACCGTACATTTATTAATATTTTTCTCAAAATTTATTGTAATTGTTATTTTTCTTATTATACAATTGTATTAGCAAGAAATAAAATATTATTTAAAAATATTTCTGCCTTATTGCTATAATAAAACTGTAAACATGAGTTGAAATGAAAATTTCATAGTGTTTGCCTTATTCGTCAATCAGCATTTATACAATCTTTTTTGGTCTTTTAGTTTCTATAATTTTCTAGTCATTTTCGATCCTTGGCTCACCTCAGGGTACATGACCTTTACTTAGTCCACCAATAGCTGTATGTTCTATATATTAAATAATAAACACTTAAAAAATTAATGTAAAAACATTATATGTATTATGGAAACTTCTTTAGGCTCGACTAGGGTGTAAATCCGTACAAAATGCAACGGAAGTCCGTTACGCCCGAACTGTTCGTCATGCGCTTTCGATGAGATCA